GGGACCTGTAGTCCCATCTACTCGGAAGGCTGAGGCAAGAGAATCACTTGAGCCCAAAAGTTGGAGGTTGCTGTCAGCTGTGACGCCACAGCACTCTACCCCAGGGACACTCTGGCTCAAAAAAAACCCCGACAATACTGGGGGTTGCAAGAAGTCTCACAAGTGACTAAATTGATTGAAAACCATCTGTAGGTAAATTTTTTCCTTTCATTGAAAGAACATTTTATTGGGTGTCTAAGTAAGGGTTCAGCCAGGGAAACACCCAGTTGGATATCCATTAAAAGAATTATTACATGCAGCTGGCTTATGGAATTGTGGGGGCTGGTGAGGCAAGTCTAGAATAAGAGGGCAGATATATATAAGGAGGGCAAACCGCAACTCCTGGGCACAGGTGAGACTGCTTTTCCTTAGGGACTCCTCATTCATTCTCTCAGGGCCTTTCAACCAATTGAATCAGGCTCTCTGGGTTATGTAAAATAATCTCCATTACTAAAGTCAACTGATTCTAGAATTAGTCATGCCTACAAAATTACTTCACAGCAACACCCGGATTAGTGTTTGAATAATTGGAGACTGAAGGCTAGCCAAGTTGACATAAAAAACTGATCGTCATCACCGTCCATCCTGTCTCACATACACCTTGCCTCAACCCAAACAATTTCCAAATAAAAGCATTAACAAACTCATCCTTCCACCCAACATGGTACAACTCTACTGCACACCACCAAAATTTGACTACCATTTCCCTACAAGATACAAAGTCCTATAATGGGTTAATAAACTGTGGTATGTGTATACCATGGAATATTGGTCAGCCATAGAAAAGATGGAGAGTGTGCATTTTTTGGAACATCCTGGATAGACATGGAGAACATCCTCCTGAGTGAAGCATCACAGGATAGAAAGACGATCACCACGTATGTTCAGCACTAAACTGAAACTAATGGATTAACCCCGAAGGGTCTGAGAGAAAAGCTCAATTGGATTCAAGTAGGGGGACGGGGAAAGGGTTCAGTGGGCTCCCATCCGTGGGTACAATGCCTGGGGGCTATATGGCACACTTTGAGGGTGAAGGGCACAGCTTGGGTTTTAACCTTACAAAAGTCTAACTGTATGTAACCCAACTGTACCATCAACCTTCCTATTAATCTAAAAAAAAAGAAAAAAGAAAAGAAGAAAACAAGCCCATACCCCTCCTATAACTAAAATACAGTACTATGATAAAAGGTTAACACACAGTGGCCCTCCATATCCATGGGCTCTGCATTTGCGGATTCAACCATCACAGATCAAAATGTTGGGAGTGAGGGACAATAAAACAATAAAAATTTATAAAGAAATAATACAACTATTTACATAGCATTGCATTTATTGGGTATTGTAAGTAATCTAGAGATGATTTAAAATATACAGGAGGACGTCTGTTCCCCAGATCTAAGTCTCCTTCTGGTACACTGTCCGGGGTCTGGAAAGGTCATTGGGGCCCACTTGACTACAGAACTAACCTGTATCTTTGAATTAAACTTTATCAGTAATGAAGCTGAGATTTTTATTCCAATCTATCTGACTCATGTGTCATATTTTTTAATTTTTCCTAGCCCCAACAAATAGGTATTACTTTTTTGTTTGTTTGTTTTTTATGTTTTGTTTTTGTTTTGATACAGAGTCTCACTCTGTGGCCCTGGGTAGAGTGCCGTGTCTCTCTTTTTTTCTGTCTCAAAAAAATTAAAAAAATAAAAAAAAATGGCAAAAATTCAAACACTCAGTGATGTGATCAGCATTTCTCTTGTGTAACTGACCACTAAGGAGGAAACAAAATTAAGCCTTCTGTTGGGGATTTGGAGAACAAATTGGAAAAGATAGGAGATTCATGGGAGATTTCGACAGATTATTGCTTTCTGCCTAGCTGTTACTATTAAAAACCAAACTGATGAGTATCTCTTTAGCTGAGCGTCTGGGCAAGAGATTGCCAGGGTTACCAGACACTATGATTGAAAAACGCAGCTTGCAGCTGGCTGAATAAACCCATATAAACAAATCTCTGAAAATTATTTTTACTTTTAGAGCACTGTGTTTATAACCCCACAGAAATGATTCCATATGGTCTTCAGGGCAACGCCCAATGCCTTGTAAATTCTCAATATAATACCTCAACATAAAATTTTCTATTGCTATTATCATTATTTTTGCAGTTTTTGGCCAGGGCTGGGTTTGAACCCTCCACCTATGGCATATGGGGCCAGCGCTCTACTCCTTTGAGCCACAAGCATCACCCATAAATTTTCTTAATAGTATTCCTGTCGTGCTGCAGCCCAGGGCTGAAGCAGGCCTTGGTGCTGCTGTCTGATAGGGCTGGCCATTCAAAGTTCTGAACTCAGCTCTGCTCCCTGCCCTTTCTTTGCTATCTCAGGGTCTTGCCAATCTTCTTTGAGCAGATGACTTCCAAATGTACTTCTCCATCCCTGTTTCAAGAATTCCAGTCCCATGATTTTCACTTTAGCTGGGTACCACCATGTGGATGAATTGCAAGTACCTCAACCTCCTTATGTCTAAAATCAAACACCTGTTTATAATCCTTATGTTTCTCATACCATTAAACATAGTCCTTTTTTAGACACTTCTCTTAAAATCTTGCATCATCTTTGTGACTCTGTCTTTCTTAGCCCACGTGTCTAATGAGTTACCAGCCAGTACCTTTGGACTTCAACCTTCTTTTCTACTCTTACTTACATTGCCTTGGATTGGGTCCTCTCCCCCTGCACCAACATTTGGACATACTGGTTTCTACTCTTCCTTATCTACTGCCGTCAGGGTAATCTTCCCAACTGGTAGGTTTCCATCGTATCACTACCAAACCTGTGCCCTTTCCTTGTTGCTCACACAAGGAATTTTTTAGCAGGTCATTCATAGTCAGATCTCAGCCTGATTTACTCTTTATGTGCCCTAAGCTCTGTCTCAGAGTTTCTAAACCTCTAAGGAGTCTTCTTTAAAATTGTTTTTGTAATCACCTACCTCATGAAATGCTAAGACCACAGATATACCCCATATCTATGTGCTGTTTGTATATCTGTGCTTTCCACATAAAAGGGGAAGATTTCACCTCTACTGAGAAAGCATGCTTTAGCCAAAACAAATCACTTAGCAATCCTTATATGTCTCTGTAATGTCTAGTTCCCAGGTTTTTGCTGACTCTGACCATTTGAGGAGTTAAGGGAAAATGAAAAGATTCCCAGAATGTGCTTCTGTTAATCCACACACTGTTCCTCTCGCTGAAAACAGACACATACTTCTCTTTCTACCACCCTCTGTTTCTTCCTGTTGAAATCTGACCCTTCATGTTCCAACTATATCACATTCTCTCTCCTGATTTACTTAGTTGGAACCGTTTGTCTGTGCTCTCAAGAAACTTTCTTCTTTCCTCTATTATTCTCTTCTGGGTTATGTAGTCATTTTTCTTTTTACGTTCTCTTTCCCACTGGACCACCTAAAAACAAGAACTATGCTGTGCACAGAGAACAATGCCTTCATGTGTAAGATGCACCAAAATATGTTGGTTGAAATCAATTCACTGTTATACTAGGAACAAGGTGAAACCCCATCAGTGCCCACATTAAAGAGTCCTATATATATGCTGAATAAGTGAACACACTAGAAAAAGCGGACACCATATACAAGACACACTTCTAAAACACAATCGTTAACACTGAAACGATTTATAAAAGAGTTTTGTGTGCTCTACTATATCAGTAAGGAGAACTGGTTCCTGTTTCATACAAATAACAAACACACACCCACGGAAGGTTTATTTGAATGGCTAGCTGCCTAAACATGTCTTAAATAATGATGATCAAGATAGGCAGAGGGCCCAGAAACCAAAAGCAATTTTTGACATATTTTTATTACAGATACAAAATCTTTTCATTTGCCATGAAAAGAGGTGACACCCATGGAAGTACAGTTTAAATGTAATCATCACTACCAAGTAAGAAATAATGAAATTAAGCATGTATGGAGCAGAAAAGTAAAGCTGACAAAGTTATTTTTGTGTAGAATGTGAAACCAAGAAAAACATGTTTTCTGTAAAAAGCCTTGATAATTTTATATATATATATGTGAATGTCTTTGGGAATTTCTGTCATACTTCATTACATCGCGGAATACTTGACTTTCTAGGGAAAGCTATTTCTGTGGTTTCACAGGATTACCTTTTGCTTTAGTCAGAAAATTAGGTATTTGGAAGCGGCACTTACTTCTCTGAAAGAGGTGATTAAGGCAATAATAAAATCTTACAGAAAACATCTAACAGGTGTTTTCTGCCATCCTTTTACCCCGGAATGTCTTCTCCTAAAATACCACAGCTATTTGGGTTTTGCCCTATTGTTTTCCCTAAAGTCTGAGAATGACTTCTGTGGGACAGCGGAATGGGGGAGTGTCTGAGGGATGGGAAACTGGCAAAGAATTCATTTCCAAGCATACAGTGATTTCAGCCCTCAGTCAGGTCTGTCCACAGACAGCTGTGCAATGAGTTTGTTTGGTTCTTCCCAGTCTTTCAAATAGGGTAACTGTCCTGCCACTTCTAAAGCTCTCACTTGCAGTTCTATTTCCTATGGGTTCTTAATAATTGAAAGGGAGGATTAGTAATAAATCTTTCTTTCTCACCCCTTCTACTAGTCGAGCTCAAGTTTTGAGAGCAAACAGCAACAGCAACAGCCAAAGCAAATACTTGGGTCCACCACTTAACGTCTCACTTAGCGACAGAATTATGTAGACTTGTTTGCTTAGCAATTCAGATGGGGAGTCTCGGCGGAGGAAAGGGAGGGGGAAGGGCGGGGAAGGGGAGGGCCCGCCTCCCTCGGAATGGGATTGGCTCCCTCTCTCCTTTTAGTCGTTCTCTTTGCATCTGGGTTGGACAGGTTGAGAGAAACATGTCATTAAGGTGTTGTCAAAATGAGCCGTGTAGGTGTGGGCCGTTCCCTAAGTTTGTGGTTTTACAGTTCCAAAGGGGCAGACTTATTTGACTGTGGGATCAAGTTGATGAAACTAGTCTTCTTTATCTTGAAAAATGCCATGGTAACAGGAGGCGCCCGGGAGCTTAAGTGTAACTCCCACACCGTAAAGAAAATGACGAAAGTTCCTCAGGGGTTTGATTTCAGTTTCTTAAATGACGAAGAAGCCAGGAAGATCCTTCAGGTGCTGGAAAGAAATGAGGAGCTACGGAGGGCAGAGAAGGACAGGATCAGGTACCGAGCACGTGCCTTTCTCTCTGCCTGGGGCCTGGGGCCCGGGGCCGGGTCGGCGACTCCGGGCGAGCAGGGCGAGCGCGGGGCGCGGGGCTTCTGCAGCCACCTGCCCGGGAGCCTGCGGCGGGAAGGGCGTCTGCGCCGAGGCCTCTCCCGGGGACTCGGCGGCACGGTCGCGAGTCTGGGCTCCGCGGGGTGCTGGCGCGTTCTTCTGTGCATTTCTCCGCGAGTGGGTCCCACAGGCTGTCCCGCCTTCGTCTGGGACACACGAGGGGCGCTGGGCCGCGTGTGAGCCAAGGGCTGTGGGATCCGTGGAGCGAAGCGGCGCTGTGCTCAGGTGTCCCTGGGCGGTTTCGGGACAGGGCCTGTGATGGGGCGGGAGCGCGGGCGGGAGGGAATCCGGGCTGCCGCCCCTCCGCGGCCCGCGGCCCGGCGGGTTCACACGTGTCAGCCTGCGCTGAATGCGTTTTCCGCTCGGACCCAGGGACGTCTGTCCACTCCACGCGGACAGTCGGTGAGTCCTGGGACAGCTGCCACTCACGGGTGGAGAAACATCTCCACCCCAAGGGCAGGTGCTCTAGGAACTTGTCAAATAGAGGCTCGTGTGGGTGAATGGGACTTGGACACGTAAGACGGGCTGCAGTGAGAGGGTCTCCTTGTGTGTGGTGCCGTGGGGTGGAAGTTTCTGCGGGATTTCACCCTCGACCTTACTATATGTTGCTGTAGGTGAGAGATTAGTTACCAGAAAAATGAAATGCAGAGACACAGGCAGTGAGTTTTTCTACTAGGGAAGTGTGATGTAAGTCCTGGAGTGAATTAAAGAGACTCTTTTATCAATCTTGGAATAGACCCATCTGGGCCTTATCTAAGTGACTGGAAGGGAACCCAAGGCTGCACTCTCAGGCCACAATGTGTGGAATTGATTGGAATTTAGAAAGCCATTTTGTTTGTTATTAACTGTTTAGTGACGTGAGTTCCAGGTTCCCAATTATTTCCAGATAGCCCTGCCTGCCCACCTCCTACCTCCAAAAATAAAAATGAAAAAAATCCCTCAGGGACCGTCTTCAAATTGAGAAATCCTAGCTGATGTTTGCAGAAGGAATTAGAATATGCCGGTTCCAAAGCCCATCTTCCTTCTTCTCCCCTAGACACGACTCTTTGGGGGAGGAACGGATATTTAAAGTCTGATGGTGTGGATTTCACACCCTTATACTCCGCCTTTAGAAAAATAGGCTTCATCATTCCCCCCCATCCCCCCCGTGTAAAAAGTGTGCCTTCTCGAGAACAGTATGTCCACACCCACACACAGCCACGTGCGTGCACCCACACATGCACCACGCACAGGCACACCCGACCCTGGGAAGGGGACTTCAGAAATGCCTGGAGTTTGCACATACATTCCAAAAGCGCTAAAAACTGTTGTGTTCAGTGTAGGCTGTTGGAGGTGTCTCTTGTCTCTGAAGTGGATGAGGCTTCTTCAGTGACCCATTGCATATGTATATTTGGGGAAATTGAGGAGAAAATTAGAAATAACAGGAGGGAGGAAGCTTCTACTTAGTATGTTACCAGCTTGGCTTCTCAGAAAGTAAAGTCTTGGAGAAGTGATATAGCCATCGGCCACCGGCTGCTGTGGCTCATGTCTGTAATCCTAGCACTCTGGGAGGCCCAGGTGGGCAGATCACGCGAACTAGGAGTTCTAGAGAAGCCCGAACAAGAGGGAGACCCCGTGTCTAAAAATAGCCGGGCTTGTGCTGGGCACCTGTAGTCCCAGGAACTTGGGAGACTGAGGCAAGAGGATCTCCTGAGCCCAGGAGTTTGAGGTTACTGTGAGCTATGTGACTCCACTCTACCAAGGGAGACAAAGTGAGACTCTGTCTCAAAAAGGGAAAAAAAGAAATAGTGATATAATTTGTTTTAATTTTTATTCAAGGACATTTTGACTTTTTATGTTTGACCGATGCTTGCTTTGTGCTTTCTCTATGGCAACTCACGGTGAGCACTTGAGCTGACTCTAGAGGGATCTGGATCTACACAGAGGTGGTAAAGCCACTGGTGTAGGCATCAGAGGGACAGCAAAACACGTGTTCTGATTTCATGGCGCTCATCTTCTGCTGAAGCAGTCACAGAAAAAGCCATAATGCTAAGGCAAAAATCAATACTGTAATATTAAACTATTAAGAATGTATTGAATTACCCAAGCAATTTGAAAAATCCCACCATTAAAATATAAAAATAATTTAAGGAAAGTAGATGCTTGAACCAAATGCCCAAGGCAATGATTTCTAATAGTTCCCCCCCCCCTTTAACTCCTGGCTTTCACTATTAAATACCCGCTGTGTGGATTGCAGTCTCCATAGGATTGTTCCACTTACCCGCTTCAGGCTCACATGCGTGGGTTCAGTAGCAGATACTGATGTAAAGAAAGGGCCTGAGATAACACGTTCACTTGGCTGCTGCTGCTTCTGATTATTTTCTTGATATGTGTGATCATCATATTTTCCAAATAAAAAATCAGCATACATGACTTATAATTCAAGAGAATAATTTTTGGAAACAGTTCAACAGGACTGTCTGAGATCCTCTGGGAGGACTTTTTACCGCAGTATGTTGAAAAATGGCCTCGAGATCCCTTAACTAGGATAATAAAGGACCAAATGGAGAAGTTTGGAAAGTGAGCTGGTTGGGGAACAACTGATGAGTTCATTTTATCTGTTACAGGTCTGAGGTATCTATAAGACAACTAAAAAGAAATCCGGTATCCTATGGCTAGCAATAGATATAACTACCGTGTAATGTGGGGCCAGCGACGTTCAGATATGGAGTTAAAGCTTTGAGAATAATCTGGGTGCAGTGGCACATGCCTGTGATCGCTGAGGACACTGAGGTGGGAGGAGGATTGCGTGAGCCCTGGAGTTTGAGTCCAGCCTGGGCAACATAATAAGACGCCCCATTTCTAACAAAAATAGAAACAAATGAAAGGCGAAAGCTATGAGAGGAGGTGCGTTCACCATGTGGGTGACAGCGGAAATGCTTCTGTGCACACAGAACTTTCCTGTGCTCTCCTCTTATCTGTCCCAGACATCTGAGGCTCCAGGTTACTGGGAAAGTATTTGCATTAAATGTAATAATTAATGTTTTTATATATAAAGGGTTTATTCAAATTTTTAAGAAAACACCAAGATTCAAATTGATAAATAGGCAAAAGATAGAAATAACTCATTCATGCCAGAAGATAGCCAAACTGTAAACAAAGCAGATGGGAAAATATTCACCCTCAGAGTAATAAATGAAAATTAACCTTAACAAACCATGTTGCCCCTTTAAAGTAACAAAATACTATGGGTGAAGGTTGGAGTGAAATGGATAAATTCTGCATATCGTTAGTGGCATTGTTTCAGTTGACTACAAGACTTTTGATGAGCTATATGCAATACCTATAAAGGCATGCCTTCTCTATGACCCACTTGTCCAATTCTTGGATATTTTTCATTAGTAGATTGGGTGGAGGAGATGGCCACACCAACATTTATTAAGTGCTGTTTTTTTATATGATAGAAATTTATTGCAGTAGTAATAATAGCTAACATTTATTGGGCCTTTACTGTATAGTAGGCACTGTACTAAATATGTTCTACAGATTTAATTTATTCTCCCAATAACTTCATTAGGTATACACTTGAATTCCCACTTCACAGAGAAGGAAAAGATTTACAAAGCTTGAGTATTTTGTCCAAGTTAAGTGGTAGGGCTAGAATTCAAATCCAGGTCTATCTCAAAATTATTTTCACCCACAAATATTAAATAATCTGCATAACCATTCCTTGAGGTGACTATTATTAATGGCTTTTTATAGAAGGGAAACTGAAGTTTATCAAGTTTAAGGAACTTGCCCAAGTTCATATAGCTCTGAAGTGGCGGAGGTAGAATTTGAACGCAGATCTGGCTCCAAAACCTGAATTCTTTCCATAAACTATGGAACCTCTATAAGTTGACCACCCAAGAGACTAGTTGTAAACTGGTCAACATACAGAGGTGGTCAACATAAGGAACTAGGCTACTCTACTGATATGTACACATGGTGCGTGTCTGGTCTATGAAAATAGGTCAACTTGGTTTGGCACCTGTAGCTCAGTGGCTAGGGTGCCAGCCACATGTACCAGAACTGGCAGGTTCAAACCCAGCCTGGGCCTGCCAAATGCCAATGACAACTACAACCAAAAGTAGCTGGGCATTATAGTGGGCGCCTATAGTCCCAGCTACTTGGGAGGCTGAGGCAAGAGAATCTCTTAAGCCCAAGAGTTTGAGGTTGCTGTGAGCTGTGACACCACAGCACTCTACCAAGGGCATCATAGTGAGACTCTGTCTCAAAAAAAGAAAATAGGTCAACTTAAGGAGGTGATCAATGTACGGAGGTGGTTAATGATGGAGGTTTTACTGTATATATATGTGTATGTACACATTGTATCTATATATATACACACAGATTTGTTTCTATATAAACACAAATAAACATAGTACTGTATAATCTGAAAAGCATCTTACTTTTTTTCAGTCTTTGAAAACCACAGTTACATATCTCCCCTGACTCAAGCTGCGCTACTAGGTCTCATGAATGGAACTCCGCAAGTACAGAAAGATTACATCATTTTGGTAGCTCACGGATACATCAAAAATGTTTATTTTTCCTATTGCGGAAAATGTACACAATATAAAATGTTACAGTGCCTAGGGGAATCAAGTTTAAATACAGCATGCCTAGATTTAGACCATCTTTCCTCCATGCCAAGAATACAGCCCAGGAAATTTTCCAGAATTCAGTGTTTTCAATTGTGCCATGGAGCTGTGCCACGGTTTGGAAGGGGAGTGTGGCTGGTGGAAGCTGCAGTGCCCTGCAGAGATTAAAAGCCAGGTACACAAGCTCCTGTCTCTCCCAGACTTTCTGCCTTCCCTCTCCTCGCCCAGCCTGTGAAATCTGCCTCCAGGTAAGAGATAGTTTCATG